GATAAAGATTGACAGGTCAAGGAAGGAAATCGACCAGAATTTAGACTTTTAAACTTTAAAGCCCGAGACCAAACTCTTCCCATTGGGTTACAAAGTTGAAATTGGGTGCAAACAATGCGTAAGAAGTCGGTTTCTATGAATCGGTTTTCAGAAAAACTACTTTATCCCCGTATATCTAGCTATTGGTAGATAAAGTCATACCTACCCCCTAGATTTCTACCAAAATGGACTATATTTCTAAATATTTTCAAATCTAAGCTATATTCTTCTTTTCTGGAAACCGATTCCTATAAAGTGCATATCTCTCCACATTCTCTGAAAGTTTTGTATTACAATTCTGAGCGGAAGGGTTTGGTCTAGGCCGATTTTATATAGTCACAATGATCTAATATTATTATTATTTATGGTACAATTATGCAGATTTTCGAAGGAAGAAGTAGTTATTTAGAATCAGTGGTATTTCATCTAAGTTACTTTCAAATTTGAAGTTGATTGGTCGCGCCAAACTTGAGATACATGCGATTTCACGGGTAGCTCTGTATCACCCCCATTTTAGTCCAAAGCGCGTCTTAGGTACACGGAGTTGGCTTTATTTTTAAGTTTAGTTTATTTTATTTAATACTAGTTCAGAAAAGTTCAGAAAAGTGGTCATTAGTTGCCTGTATCTCACTAGCTGAAGCAGAACACATTTTTTTACTTCTATGTTTCCCTTTTGCGAAGTTTTACATAACAAGACGTCGTTGATCATATCGTCATCATCACCCTCTTCCAACGGTCCGCTCCAGCAGGTCGGGTCGACCTCAGCCCTTCATCATCATCATCAACATGGCTGCCGCAGACCAAGAAACCCACGCCAGGCCGGTCCGTCCTCGTTCCTACAAAAACAAGAGCCATCAGCGCGGGTTTCTTGGAGCTGTGGGTGACTTACAGAAGGACGGGGTACTGCAGGATGTCGTTCTTGAAGTCGAGGGCCGGCGGTTTCCCTGCCATCGGCTTGTTCTATCCGCGACCAGCCCCTACTTCAGAGCCATGTTTACAAGCGACATGGCGGAAAGTCGACAGGAAACGGTGCTTTTACAAGTGAGTTGGTGCGAGGTTCAAAACCTCCTTGATTACGTTTAGAGGGTTAGTAATTCAAAAACAAAACGGGGAACTTGGTACGAGGCTACGTATCATATAGAACCCGTAAAGAAATTGCCACTCAGTTTTGTGCTTGGGCGTCTTTCCGACCCCCTACCGCGCAAAAGGCCATGTTGATTTGATTAAAATGGATGACATTTATAATATTATATGTGGGAATCCCCAAACTCATGCAAGCGTGCGAATAAAAAAGTGTGGCAAAAAAGTTGCCTTCATTGTGAAAATACGTATTTTTGCAACTTACGGCATATATAAATTTTGCTCAAGCAGGTCTCCCATATATTCATCACATCAACATGATGATAAAATGTGCTTGTTCCTGCACTTTTTCTTTTTTTACTTTTATAAAAGTTTTAAAAACTTTTGGTATGATTACTAGTATTCTTCATTTTTGAGGCGATCAGTAAATATAATGTTACATGTACAGTATACAATATACTGTACATGAACACATTGTGGAATTTAATGAGCATATTGCATAACACATTCCTAAAAGTGATATATAACGTTCGTAGAACTTAGAAGTTTGACCATCGTGACATGATATTGGCCTGCAGGGTTTGGATGCAGATGTGTTAAAGGAGATCCTGAGTTACATTTACTCGGGAACCCTCCATGTGTCCCTGGACAGTGTGCAGCACATGTACCATGCAGCTGACCTCCTGCAGCTGGACTATGTGAGAGACTCCTGCAGCAGCTACATGACCAGGAATGTGGAGCGGTCCAACTGTGTGGACCTGTACAAGTTTGCTGATGTCTTCTCTGTGAAGATTGTCATGAAAGCTTGTCTGCAGTCAATTGCCAGGAACTTTACTGAGGTTTGTCTCCATTGGTGACCATGTATCTTATTTATGTTGCTTGATGATAATAAAACCTTTCAGTAGAAATAACTGATGTTATTAAAGAGTCACTGTGGGAAAATTTGTTAAACAGTTTTGTGTTTGGGAATGCATAGGTCTATAAGCAGCAACACCTGTGCTGTGCAATGTGAACCAGTCAGAATTGTCCTGATCATAGAGTAAGACTGTCACTGAAACTTTGGCTGAATAAAACACTTGGTTGTGTAAAAAAAGAGTCCGTTTATTCAGAACAAAGAGTATTAGAAAGAAAAGACTGAACATTCTGTTCAAAGTTAATTGTATTTCACAGATTGCCTCCAGTGAGGAGTTCTGCAGCCTGAGTGTGAATCAGCTGACTGAGATCCTCAGCCATGAAGAGCTGGATGTTGAGGAGGAGACAGCAGTGTGGGAGGCTGTGGTGAGATGGGTGCAGCACAACAAGGAGGACAGGTGGGCAGCAGTGTTCTATCAGGGCATGTTGTAAATCTCTTTATATTTGTGGTAGCAACATTTCACGGTCTGAGAAAAATTGAGTCATGTTCACAGTAGCAAAAGTTTGCTGTCTGAGAAGAATGGACATGTTAGTTTTCAGAACCACCGGTATATGTTTGTGGTGGTGGCAGGTGCAGCAAAGAGAAAGGTGGTGGTATAGAAGTGACCACGAAAAAAATCGTGATTTACAGTTTATTGTATTTGTAACTTGATATAAACACAAGAATGCACACACCAGTTCTTCTGCACCCTAGGGTCCGATCCCAATTTTGTTGATGGATTTTTGGGTGAAAATAATGTTTTTGTCTGTTAATTTCACTAAAACTAAAATGGTTGAAGAAACAAACCTCAGTTGGTCTTGTAGCTGAAGGGATTTTGCTTCTGAATTATCTTCTGCCAGGGTATTCCCTTGAATGGAAACCTGAAATAAACTGGGCTGTGCTCCAATACTGTAATTCATCAAAAAGATACAGAATGTACCAGGAAACCAGCTGACTCCTCCCTTACCCTGTACCCTACAGACTGCAGCACCTACCCATCATCCTCCCTCACATCCGCTTCAACCTGCTGACTCCGTACAACATGGTGACCATCCTAGACCACCCCCTGGTCAGAGAGGATCCTGGGAGATCGGCCATCAGGAATGTGGTAAAGGAGGCGTCCAACCAGAAGAGGAGGTTGGGGACGGACACACTGGAAATGGCTCTACTTTTCCCTGAACGGTACAGGGGCCTTTCCTTATTCATCAGCATCGTATTTTCCTGAATTCCCTCAAATCTGGAATGCTTTATTAAACCAGAACTGACAGATCTGTGCATCATTACTTTTGTCCTCCAGGTTATTGTTTTTATTGTTAAATATTAAGTTGTTTTTAGTTATTTCTTAGTTATCATTTCTTTGAGCTTCACAGCTATGGGATAGGGTTGGTACTACAGTATATAAAAAAGATACTTTGACATTGAAAATCCAGTTTTACTGACCTGAAATCGTTTTGGGTGCTTTTAAATGCCTGTGATCCTGCTTTCATGCTAGTATCCCTCTTCAGCATTGATATTTTGTGGAATCCAAGAACCAACATATTACATGGGTGAGGTCTGATCATTCTGTATCTGTATAGCCAGTATAACCACCCCGCTGTGTAACACATCAGGCACATGGCGCACCGATAGCTGGTTATTACATTGAATGACTTGCTACACCTAGCCTTTGCACATCTAACTGTAAATATTACTTAAAGCTATCTAGTGATTATGTTCTTGATGGCAGTGATCATTGATTCGTTAACATCTGCCTTTACAGCTCAACTGATGAGATGCTGTGGATAAACCCAGGAGAAGATAAGTACATCAAGTGTCAGTATGACCTATCTCCGCTTGCGGGCACTGTTACTCGTGATAACGACATCTACATCCTGGCTGAAGCGTCACAGCGTAATTGTGTCCTGTTCAAGTACAACCATGTCCAGAACACCTGGGAACGGATGTCTAAGGTACCAAGGGTGGTGGTGATAGACCCACACTATCCAGAAACAGACTACCTTCTGGAAATCGATGGTCACCTTTTTCACCTTCTCGTGACAAATTCAGCGGTGGTGTTTAAGAAATACAACCATCTCACAAACAAGTGGCACGACTGTTCAAGGCCTCCCCACGAGAGGCTCAGCACGACGGATGCAGTGGTGTCCTGCAATGATCGCATCTACATCTTCACGCAGACAGATGTACTTAGTTACGACCCAAGGGAAGACCAGTGGTGCAGGAAAGCTCCATCAGACTACATTCATCAAGTCTACAATGCTGTTGCCATGGGTACAGAGATCTTCTGCACTGATCTACTCTTTGAGAAGACATTGGTGTATGACACAGAGGCAGACAGCTGGTCAGAGCTTTCAGGGTGGCAGGACACAATTCATGGCATTGAAAACATCACTGTCTTTGTACTCAAGAACAAGCTGCATGCAGTGGTAGACAGCTGGGATGAGATAAACAAGATTCAACTGGTGTTTGTGTATGACTGGGATGAAGATGTCTGGACTGAGTTGGCTACTTTGCCTCGTACTAGTGGTAGGGATTGGGATATGTTTCGTCCTACGTTCCCTGTTGGTCGTATGTACCTACCACATCTGAATGCCAGCCAATAGTGCTGTTTACCTGATACCAATACCTGTACCTGTAGAAATTTTTAGGTACAGGTCTGGACCTGAACGTCTATTGGTAGTATACCTGTACCTCAGCAAAATTGAACACTAGTGGACACAATATTTTACAGGTAAAAGTTGTTTAGGTACACAGCTCTACCAGCCATGCACCAAATCCAGGGGCTCATGGAGAGAAACCACGTTTCAAACATGTCCAACAAACCAGAGATTTGGAACATTGTGGAATGTCTTTGTGGATTGGATTTACATTCTGTAGACTAAGAAGTCAATTTCCTTGTCAAAGTTGATTTATAGTTGAGTTATAGTTACTGTAGTTTCCATGGAATAGAGAGAAGGCACTGGTCACATTCAAATATTTGCCTCTCCAGACCAAAGGCCTAGCAAAATAAATGCTGTGTTTCGAGTTTCAGTCCTGAAGAAATAGGATCAGTAGGTAGGGGTTTTCTTTTCCATTATTTTCTGTATCTGTATAACCGGTATAACCGCCTTTCAGTGTAACACACCAGCTTCAGTGTAACACACAAGGTGCAGTGGCAGCTGGCTACATTACACCGATCGACTTGTTACACTAACCCTTGAACATCTAACTCTAGACATTGTTTAAAGCTATCTAATGAAAAAATGACTTTTTAGGTTTCAGCTAAAGTGATCTAACAAATAAAGTTTTTAGTGCATAGGGACTGTCTCAATTCAAGGACTCATCCACCTATTTGCTTGTGAAAAAATATTCCACCCAGTTTACTACAGAAAAAATTGCTTCTGAAAATATGTTAAATGGCATTTCAGAGGGTTTGAAATTCAGATGTCAGATCAAAAATTTTATATCCTTACCAGCGGTTGATAAACAATAAAGGCTAGGGTCAGCGGGCTTTTACTTGGGCCAGTTCACTCAGTTGGGAAACTGGAAACACAACATTTTTCCTACATGTTGACCTCAGCAGTCCTGTCATACAGTAGTTTAGTTTAGGCCACAGCAAGTAAATTTTATGGATGACATCCTCAGCAGACCCAATTCTTTATTTCCATACCAACATTACAGACATACTATATGGAATTATAATGTTACCTGGATGGTATTGGTATCGGCATTTTATATTATAAGCCTTGTTTTAAGAAATTATACCTGATATTGTGGTAGCCTGGCCTGACAGGCTTTTCCGTAAACCCTGTTGTTACTTTTTCTTAATCCTCAGAAAATGTATGTGACTTGATGAAATAAAAATCTTGTTCATATACAGGCTTCAATGTACTATATGCTGTATATATGTACTAAAATACATCAATCCCTCACTTTTCCATGGTTGTACTATGTG